CCTCGCCGGGCCCTGAGGCCGCCAAGCAACGACTCGGGATGAAAAACGCCGGTCCCCGGGGGAAAGGGGTCGAGACTTCCAGGGGGCCCGCGTCGTATAATTCTTCCATTCCTGCTCCTACGAATTTTTCCCTGTCGCACCCCGAGGCCAGTTTTGAGGGCGAGCTGGGCGTTTCGCCTGAGACTTCCTCACCACGTATGACTCTGAAGCTGCAAACGTGGCAGCAGTTTCGCAGATGGAGGGCGGGTCGTTTTCAAGATGTGGCTCTCGCCTTCGCGCCGCGCACGCTCGTCTTAAAAATCTGCTAGCGTTCCACAGATTGAAGGCGAGTGGTTTTCAAAATGTGGCTCTCCCCTTAGCGCCGCGCACACTCGTCTTATCAAGTTGCACGCGCTTCACGGATTGAGGGCGGTTCCTTTTCAAAATGTGACTCTCGCCTCAGCGCGTCGCACACTCGTCTTACTTAAATGTGCAAAAGTTTCACGGATTCCCATGATCACTGTACCAGAAACGGTGTTTGGGAAGGGTTCAGGCTTTCGAGGGTGCACAAGTTATGTTGATTCGCGGTGTTAAAGTCCCAAGAATGGCGTTCTGGCGCGATTCAGGATCGTCAAGACGCAACAGTCAGGTTGATCCGTGGCGTTGGAATCCCGACAACAATGTTTTGGCATGCTTCAGGGTCTTCAAACAATTTTCCAACGAGGCAGTTCCCTCAGTAGACATGAACCGTTGTAGGGGCCTGTGAAGAGGGAGCTTGGATGGAGGGTTTCCAACATCGTTGATGCCTCGTGGACTTACACTGGACCTCCTCCTACTCCTCATCCTCATGCTCCTCCTCCACCTTTATAAGAAGAACCTCTCTTTGCCCTGAGGGAGGAAAATAAAAAAAAACTGTCAGAGGCCCGTGCGGGTTTCTGCGGGGGCATGCGGTGGCCCCCCCCACTTGGCGGCGCCTCCAGCGTCGCCCCTGGCACGCTTCGCGCCAGGAAGGGAGGTTGAGTCCAGCGCCGACCCGGAAAATCCGCGCGACCGCCGAAAGCTTCTGTTTGCAAGGTTTGCTCGCGATTCGAACACTCCCCCGTTCCCAGCATCTGAGACCACCCACGGTGCGAACGCCTGGCACGTCCTCCACAATTGCCACGGGGGCTGCTCACGAGCCCACGGAAGCAAGACAGCAACCATGGCTGTGGTAGCTGCACGGCCATAGCTGTGGTAGCTGCACGATCACGTCGGGATTCATCAGTGCTGTGAGTACAGTTTATACCGCTGCGACGATTGACGGCGACAAGCCTGAGGGACAAGCACGTCTGGGAATGTGCTCAACGCACCAGGCTGGATCGTATGCTCCGAATTGTTGCGAGCTGTCCGACGTGCCCCTCCGCCTTCGCCTTGAACACGCCGTTCCAGTGTGAACAGGCGATGGACGCTGAGGATTCCCAGCGCCTCAGGTGGTGCCGCCGGGCCCCAGCACCGCATGCCGCACCTCGCCGAGCAATAGCGCACTGGCGCTGCGGACGACGCAGAGACCACGCCGCCCAGGAGAGAGCCCGCCGGCTCGGACCAAGGAGGAGGCAGCCCCCTGGGAAAACCCGGCTGGACTTCTCGCACGCGCTGGTTCCAGCGCTGAACGACATGACGCTGACTTCAGGTCTCGCCTCCCACATCTCGCTCAGCAGCGCCGAGGCCTATTGCCACTGCTCGCCCATCTCGCGTGCGTCGGCTCCGGCGCTGTAGCTGACCAGGGGTGGACCCATGGACTAAACCTCGTGGCGGGCAGCCTGCCCGCTGGGTGGGGGAGGTGAAACAGCGCTGGAAGAGAGCGTGTCAGGAAGAGGCCGGGGCCCGTCTTGAGCCGCCCTGTGGTCGTCCTGAGCCCTCTCGGGCCGGTCTCAGGGGGGTCGGGGAGCCATCTCAGGATGCTGTTGGAGCAGCTTGGGACCATCTGGGCCTGTCTCCAGCCCGGTGGGCATTCAGGCCAACAGCAGTCAAGCCGTAAGGATTTCAGAATTTTTTCGGCTAGAAGAGAACTCTTGGGATCGTGGTCGGGCCCCTGCTCTTGCACGGATCCCCCCGTGCAACTGATCGATGCTAGAAGAAAGCAAAACGACATAAACATTAGCAGTCGAAGATCCGCGCGGACTTCTTGGATCGGCGCTGGACCCCCCCTTCCCTGGCACGCGGAGCCCGCCAGAGGCAGCAACAGAGGCGCCGCCAGGGGGCCCTTCGCGGATCTGCGAAAGATTATGCTTCCAGCATTTTCGTGTCGTGCCAACTTCGACGTTGGTTTCTGACACCGCGGGGATCGTTTAATTTTGAAAGATCGACCATTGCCGAGACGTCAGATCGTTCAACATCGACCGATTCTGGGCCGTCAGCGGCGTTCAACGTTGAACGCCGGCGGCGCGGTCGCCGCTGGTCGGCACGATGCGAACCTACCGTATGCTGAATGGTCTTCGTCGACGTGCCCTCCCTGTCCTCCCGAACGTACGCGCCGCCGCCAGGGCAGATCGCTGCGCGACGGCGGCGGGCGGGGAGTCCTCCTCCGCCTCCAGGCGGGGCTCGTGCAGGCGCTCCACCCGCGCCAGCCTGCCGCGTGGAGCGGGGGCTGACGGCCAACGATAGGTCTATCTTGCGCTGAGTGCTACGGCGGCCTATCGAGCAGCGTTGTTGCTGTTTTCACCGTCGGGGGGCCCTGAGCGGGCCCCAGGGCCGTCAAGAGACGACTCGAGATGAAAAGTCGGTCCCGGAGAATGGGTCGAGACCTCTCGGGTTCCACGTTGAAGGGAAAAACCTGGCGTCGGGGGCATGGAGGCTGGCACAAAGGAAGGGGGGGCTTCGACCTGGATTCGGCGATACATCGCTGACAGATCGGCGACAGGCCACCGATGGTAAATCCACGCGTTCCTGGGCGGGGTGGGCTGTCGGACCCTTATCGGCGATGAATACGAGATTGGGGGTAGATGCATCCCCCGTGAGCTTACCCCCCCCCCTCCTCCTCCTTCTCCTCCTTCTCCTTCTCCTCCTCCTTCTCCTCCTCTTCCTCCTCCTCCTCATCCTGCTCCTCCTTCTCCTGCTCCTCCTCCTCCTCTTCGTCCTCCTCCTCCTTCTCCCCTCCTCCTCCTCCTCCTCCTGCTCCTCCTTCTCCTCCTCCTCTCCTCCTCCTCCTCCTCCTCCCTCCTCCTCCTCCTCCTCCTCCTCCTCCTCCTCCTCCACGCCCTGTCCCTGCCCCCGATCAACCCCCTCCCACACGTTCTCGCTCTCCGCCGTCCTTCCTCGCAGTCTGCCACTTCCTCCTCCACTTTCCCCCCACCCCCCACCTGCCTCCTCCTCCTCCTCCTCCTCTTCCTCCTCGTCCTCCACTTATTATTACACTTATTAGTATGCTTCTCCGTATGCGTATTCTTATTATTATTAGTAATATTATTATTATTACTATTATCATGACTCCTAGTATGATGCTTATCATTGTTAGTATTATCAATATCATTAGCATTCGTAATATTATTCTCCTTCTTATAATTAATATCCTTAGTCGTCTTCTTTCGTACTATTATTGTTAGTACAATTATTGATAAAATTAATATCAATTTATTAGTATTCCTCTTCCTCCTCCTCCTTCTCCTCCTCCTCCTCCTCCACCCATCCTTTCTTCCTCTTCGCAACTCCCCCCATGCTGACCCTGGAGTCTCCCTGAAGGGACCGGCACCCCGCTGTGAAAGAGGCCCACTGGGGCGGTCAGAAAGGCCTCCGTTGAAGCGAGGCTTCGGCGAGCGGCCTCGTCTGCCACCCGAATTCGTAGCGCCCCCTCCTCCTCCACCTCCATCTCCACCTCCACCTCCTCCTCCTCCTTCTCCTCCTTCTCCTCCTCTCCTCTCCTTCTCTCCCCCCTCGTCATAATCGTCCTCGTCATCTTCATAATCAGCACCATCATCATCAGCAGCAGCAGCATCATCATCATCATCATCATCATCATCATCATCATCATCATCATCAGCATCATCATCATCATCATCATCATCAGCATCATCATCATCATCATCATCACCCATCATCATCACCCCACCATCATCATCTCACATCAGCATCACATCATCATCATCATCATCATCATCATCATCATCATCATCATCATCACCATCACCATCACCATCACCATCATCATCATCACCCCACCATCATCATCACAATCAGCATCAGCATCATCATCATCATCATCATCATCATCATCATCAGCCATCGCCATCGTCATCATCATCATCAGCATCATCAATCATCAATCAGCATCATCATCATCAAACATCATCATCTCATCATCAGCAGCCATCATCATCATCAGCATTATCATCATCATCATCATCATCATCATCATCATCATCATCATCATCATCATCATCATCATCATCATCATCATCATCATCATCATCATCATCATCATCATCATCATCATCATCATCATCATCATCATCATCATCATCATCATCATCATCATCATCATCATCATCAGCATCATCATCATCAGCATCATCATCATCAGCATCACATCGTCAGTCGTCAGCATCGTCATCGCCATCCTCATCGTCATCATCAGTATCACCATCAAGATCATCATCATAATCCCACCAGCCCTTTGGGCGTGAGTGGTTTAGGGAGCTCTCTCTGTCCTCAACCCCCCTTCTTCCCCTTCGGGGAGGGGTTTACCCCTCCCCCTACCCCCTCCCCCTGGGCCTGGAGAGGGCGGGCCGCGGGTCGTCAGGGGAGTCTTTTTCGACTCCTGGGAGGGCCAAAAAACGACGACCCTCACGAGGATTCTGGCCCCGAGGGGGGGGGAGGGAGTTTGGCGCCTGAACTCGTCGTTGAAGTAAAAACATTGATTTTACTACGGTTTGGCCCCATTTTGGCCTTCTGAGGGGGCCGCGTTCCTCTTCCTTCATAGCAAAATCATTGATTTTACGAAGGTTTTGGGCTCATTTTCTCATTATCAGGGGCCAGCGCTCCTTTGCGCTTCAGAGGGCCCCCAAGAGGCCCCAAGAGTCCCCCAAGAGGCCCCCAAGAGGCCCCCAAGAGGCCCCAAGAGGCCCCAAGAGGCCCCCAAGAGGCCCCCAAGAGGCCCCAAGAGGCGAGGAAGAGCCCCAAGAGCCCCCCACGAGGAGCCCGAACGACTCACACCAGGACGAGGGGCCCGAACGACTCACACCACGAAGAGCCCGAACGACTCACACCACAAGGAGGGGCCCGAACGACTCACACCAGGACGAGGCGCCCGAACGACTCACACCACGAGGAGCCCGAAGGACTCACACCACGACGCGGGCCCCGAACGACTCACACCACGAGGAGCCCGAACGAGTCACACCAGGAGGAGGGGCCCGAACGACTCACACCACGAACCCGACGCTCACACCACGAGAAGCCCGAACGACTCACACAGGACGAAGAGCCCGAACGACTCACACCACGAAGAGCCCGAACGACTCACACCAGGAAGAAGGGCCCGAACGACTCACACCAGGACGAGACACCCCAAACGACTCAAATCACGAGGAGCGTGTTCTCTCCCTCCTCCTCCGCCTCGTCCTTCTCCCGCTGCCCTCACAAGGAGGATGTACAAGGAGGCGGGAGGAAGGAGGAACAAGGGAAATATGCGGGGCAAAGCGGACACACGCCTGAAAAACACAACTGTCGGCATGCTTCGCAAGAGTTGCTGTTGTGAGATGGGCTGATGGGGATACGCGAAGCGTAAAGAATTCTCAACATCAGCTGCGTCAACATTAGCATCATCATCAATATCCGCATCAGCATCAATATCATCATGATCAGCATCATCATCAACATCATCAGCACCAGCAGCATCATCATAATCAGCGCAGCAACAGTATCGTTGTCAGCATCATCAGCAGCAGCATCATCATCACCATCAGCATCATCATCATCATAATCAGCATCAGCATCGTCATCATCATCGTCGTCAGCATCATCAGCATAATCAGCATCATCAACAGCATCAACATCATCAGCAGCATCAGCAGCATCACCATTATCAGCATCGCCATCAGCATCATGGTCATCGCAATCGTTATCATCAGCATCATCATCAGCAGCATCATCAGCATCACCACCGCCTCCAGCATTAGCAGCAACAGCATCATCATAAATACCAGCATCTGCATCATCACCAGCATCAACAGCAGCAGCATCAGCATCATCATCATCATCATCATCATCAGGATCAGCAGCATCAGCATCATCATCGTCATCGTCGACATCATCAGCAGCAGCATCGTCATCATCATCATCAGCATCATCATCGTCATCATCACCAGCATTATCAGCATCATTTTCATAATCATCATTATCGTCATCGTCATCGTCATCGTCGCCGTCGACGTCGTCGTCATCGTCCTTGTCCTTCTCGGCATCAGCATCCTCCTCTCTTCCACTCCTCATCCTCTTCCTCCTCCCCTTCTCCTCCTCATCCTCCTCGTCCTCCCCAGATTCCTTCTCCTCATCGGCATCATCAGCATCGTCACTAGCAGCAGCATACTCCGCATCAGCATGGTCGTCGTCACCCTCACTCATCTTCTCCTCATTAAAAAATTATCCCGGCAAAGCAACCTAACAGCGATGTGTAGAAGCATATATGGAAGCATTCCCCTTAAGATTCAGATGAGAATCCAGTTGTAGAGTTCTGCTGTTCTCGCAGTCGCAGTCGCACTCGCGATGACAGTCGCAGTGGCAGCGGCAGTCGCAGTCACACCCTCAGCCTGCCTCAGTATCAGCCTGCCTCAGCCTCAGCCTCAGCCTGCCTCAGCCTCAGCCTCAGCCTGCTTCAGCCTCAGCCTCAGTCTGCCTTCAGCCTCAGCCTCTGTGCCTCAGCCTGCCTCAGCATCAGCCTGCATCCGCCTCAGCCTCAGCCTCAGCCTCAGCCTGCCTCAGCATCAGCCTGCCTCAACGTCTGCCTCAGCCTGCCTCAGCCTCAGTCTGCCTTCAGCCTCAGCCTCAGCCTCAGCCTGCCTCAGCATCAGCCTGCCTCAGCCTCAGCCTCAGCCTCAGCCTGCCTCAGCCTCAGCCTGCCTCAGCGTCTGCCTCAGCCTGCCTTCAGCCTCGGCCTCAGCCCCAGCCTGCCTCAGCCTCATCAGCCTCAGCCTGCCTGCCTCAGCCTCAGCATCAGCATCACCATTCTCAGCCTCTGCATCAGCATCAAAATGTGGCGCGGGAATGCAGTTCTGGGAACTCGAAGAGCACGAAGTGGCCTACAGTTGGCTCCGGGCATTCAAAATGTGGCCCGGGAATGGAGTTCTGGGAACTCGAAGAGCACGAAGTGGCCTACAGTTGGCTTCGGGCATTCAAAATGTGGCCCGGGAATGGAGTTCTGGGAACTCGAAGAGCACGAAGTGGCCTACAGTTGGCTCCGGGCATTCAAAATGTGGCCCGGGAATGGAGTTCTGGGAACTCGAAGAGCACGAAGTGGCCTACAGTTGGCTCCGGGCATTCAAAATGTGGCCCAGGAATGGAGTTCTGGGCACTCGAAGAGCACGAAGTGGCCTACAGTTGGCTCCGGGCATTCAAAATGTGGCCCGGGAATGGAG